GCTGTGGCTAGCGATTTTGTATTGTAATTTTTTGTCGTGGCGGTGATTTATAATTTCGTTAAATAAAAAAACTTAAAAACATGGAAGTTTCCATTTAAATTAAATAAGAGTATATATTCTCAAATAATTTGGTAAAGTAAGATTATAATATATTTTAAATTAAATTAAATGCTTTATTATTTAAAATAAAAATTCATTTCGTAAAATCCTTCTGCACATGTTCTAACATGGGACTGTTTATTTACAAATGCAGTACGAAGCAACAACTTTAACAAGACCAATCCCTTAGGTAGTGTTTGTTTTCGGGGATGTCCTGTTTACGAGCAACGAAAGGCGAGGAAAGTATGTGTTTGTTTCCCGTGATTTGGAGCGAAAGAAAGGCGAAGAAAAGCGGGGAGAAGCATTGTTGCTCTCCTCGCACAAAAGCAAAGAAAGGAGGTGAAAGACACGTAGGATTTGTGAAAATCCAAAAATGCCCCTCCCATGCATGTGCCATGTAGCAGAGGATTCACGTTCACGTTCTCCACGGGCTGGTGCTGATTCTCGACGTTGGGTGGCTGGTGGTGACTGGTGGGTGTTGGTGGTGAGTGATTGTGGAAGGAGGTCCTCCATTGAAGGTAAGTTTGATCTCATTTGGTATATACGAAGGAGCATAATCGATTATGGTTGGCCACATAATCGATTATGGCCTTGCATAATCGATTATGGGTGAGGCATAATCGATTATGCAAGGTCATAATTGATTATGTGGCCAAGCATAATCGATTATGCAGGGTATTTTCGTTGCCAGTGGAACCCGAAACGGCCCTGAAACGGCCTGTTCCAAAAATGCATGTTATGAGAAAAATGCGAAAGCAAAACGGTCCGTTCCACTTTTGGAACGGGTCGTTCCACTTTTGACCTTTGCGGAGTACTTTATATTTAATTTAAGGTATTATATATTAAATATTAACATCAAAAAGTGGAAATATAAAAAAAATAAAGTAATACATGTTTATAAAATTATAATAATAACACTTTCATAAACATTAATAAAATAATGTTACAAAATATAATTATCATAATATATTTTGTTATTATTATTTATTATTATAATTATTATTATTTTCATTTTTATTAATATTAATATTATTATTTATTATAATTAATATCATTATTATTTATTATGATAATATTTATTATTATTTTTATCATTATTTATTATATTTTTAATAAATTATACCTATTAATATAATTTTATTGTAATTATTATTAATTATAATAAATAATATTATACTCATTTTTAATCCAAGGGTAAAAGTGTAAATTATATATTCATCTCTTAAATTTTTATTTTTTATCTATCATTAAATTTAAACCAAATATTTAAATTAATTTATTTTTAAATTAATTTTTTATAATTTTTTAGTTAAAATTTATATATTTATCTTTTAATTATAATAATTATAAACTTTTTTTAACCTAAGGGCAAAATAGTAATCTTTCACAATTATCAATTAAAAAATTTATTTTTATCTATTACATCAATCAATTCATTCACAAACTTTCACAAACTTTCTCTACACTTTTCACTCACTTTCCCTTAATCCAAACAACCTCACTTTCCACTCACTTTCCCTTCAAATCTCTCCTTTTCCACTCCCCATTTTCCATCCTCAAATCCAAAAAAAACCTTAAAGTTTTAGCAAAAAAAAAAAATTATGAAAATAAGAAATGACTAGATTATAAAAAAATATTTTGTGGACATTTCAAGTAAAAAATTTCGAAATGAAAACTACTAATAATAATTTTTATTAGATCAAAATATTAATTATTAATATTAAAACTCAATTATAAATATTATTTATAATATTATAATTATCAGTTTCTTTACAATAATTATTTGTCATCATTATCTTTACAATTATTGTTGTATTTATTATTGTCTATACCATTCCCACCACAACTATCAACTTTGATATTAATACAAATAATCATTAAAGTTAATTTAATGGTGAAATTTGATATTAATATAAATAATTATTATAATTTAATGATAAGAATTGATATAATATGTATAAGATTTTAAGTTTAAATTTTATTATTGTTATTATAATTGTTATCGATTAAAAATTATATTTGTGTGAAATTCACTATCTTTGTCAATAAGTGATTTTCAAATTAACTACTTTTAATAGGTTTCTTTTCAATCATATATTCTCTTTTACATGAATATGAGATTTTAATGAGAGAATAAAGTCTTATTTTACTCAAATTAATGAATGACTTGATAGTTATAATGTATATTTAAATTGTCAAATTGTAATAATCTTACAAAAAATAGTAAAAAATATTCGCAAAAGGAAAGGTTCCATGAGAAAAAAGTTACTTTTATCATGAGGCATAAAGAAAAAAGATTAATTAGAAGTTTCGTACTTTAATTTATTAGTTTAACTGCATTTTCCTTTTCATTTATATAATTCAACACAATTCTATAGATTTAATTTAACTTTAGGTTACTTTCCTACTTTTAACTTGGCGATTAATTTCTATAATTAGAAGACAAAAAGATGCACATAGCAAGTGACTTTTTTGAGGTAAAAGACAAAAAGTCACCCAACTGGACATTTTCATTATTTTTAAATCTACTTGTACTTCTACGTCCCTATATGATCGAAGTATCATTCCTAGTGTATGTATTTCTCATGAAAATAAATTAATAATTTAAGATAGTATAAAACTTCACAGCAATGCACATTAAATAAAAAAAAAATCTGTTTGATTTTTCTAAATTAGACAAAGAGTAAACTTTACAAAAGAAATCAGATCAATAACTAAAGAAAAATATGTACCATTTTTCTAAATTAAACAAAGAGAACTTTACAAAAGAAATCAGATGAGTTATTTGGAGCTGCATAATATACATACAAAGATCCAGTTATTTAGTTAAGCTAGTTTTATGTTTGAACTCTTTTTCTTCTAAAAATACTTTTTTTAATATTAATGAAATAAAGCAGATACACACACATATATATATTTTAATGTGTTTGTCTAAATTAATCTTAAAAAAAGTAATTTCCTGCCTTTTTAAGAAGAAAATTTTATCTTATATAATTTCAAAGAAACTAGCCAAAGTTAATCATAAAAATTTGAAGATTTTGTCTGAAAATTAGAAATATAAGTGTTTGTTGAAAGAGATAAATATCCCTGTGTGACCCCAATTATGATGAATTGAAAACTTTTAAATAGCGTAGGACGAAAAACGTTATTTTTCTTCGTATCATTCATTTGTTTTTTAGGAAGACTATAACCTTCTATTTCAGTTATTTTTTAAAAGAAAATTCTTTGCAAAAAAAAAAATACTATATGTTTGGGACATCTTATATAAATTTATAATTATTGTTTTCTCTTAAAAATAATTTTTTATGAAGCTCAAAATTTGAATTTATGATTATATATCAATTTTTTCTTTTAAATTGATTTATTATATAAAAATAACTATTTTATCGTATTCAAATGAAATTAAACATTTTAAATATTTTTTAACATACCGAAATAAAATTTTATTTCAATCATAATAGATTATAATAATGATTAATTGTTCATATAATTCATTATTAAAATAATTTAATTTCTATATCTTTCTCCAACACACTCATAGGATTAACTCATAGCCATGTCAAAAATAAAAAGGAAAAATAGAAATAGCACTAGCTCAGCTTTGGTTCATATTATAAGAGAGTAATATGGAGGGAAAAAAAATCTTTCATATACCTACATTTTTGTGAAAATTATACAAGTTTTATATCAATAAAAAAAATTGGTATTTTTGGATGAGTATGAAAGAAAGTTGAAGAGAAGAACAGGAAATCCGTTTACTGATGAGAGGTTCTTTTTCTGTTATTTAAAAATGGAAAGGGTATTTGTTTGTTTTTCCCTTTCTCCTCTTTCTATTCCTTCCATTTACAACAAAACACAGAAGGCCACAGTGACACTTGTCTAGAAATGAATTCGAAACAAAAAGGTGCAAGAGGAAACCTACACTACACATGTGGGCACAAAAATTGCTTGCTACCACAACAATTCAATAATAATAATTACACCCCCTTCCAATCCAAGAATCTCTAAGTGGACTTTCAGTGTCAGAACCTGTAGCAGTAGAGTTCTTCGTAACCCCCACCCCCCCAAAAAAAAATTTCACCCTTTCTCAATCCCACTAAAGCAAATTATACTTGTTTAATTAGTTTTAGTCTTGTGTTTTACTTTTTACTTTAAAAACTTATGCTCATATTTTAATACAAATTTTGCTGGAAATGTCATATCCGCTGACAAAAAGTGTAAATAGTGTATAAGTTATTGGCTGATTTATTTAAACTCAAATTTAATTTTTTTTTAAAACAATACTACAGTCTATTTTAATTATTCTTACTAGGTTTATTGTATTACATATATACCATAAGACTGCACTTAAATATTCAATCTTATAAATATTAGGAAGTTATATATTGTTTGTCTCAATTTTTCAAGTTTATATATTTGATTGACAACTTTATGTAATTTAAATTATTTTCAAGATGAAATCTAATATAATATCATATTTTAGAGTTGATTTTTATGATTTGTGTATTTTAGATGACATGATTTGGTTTAACAAACATTTGTAAAAAGAAATGTTTGAAAGTTTCATATTGTTTATCTCAATTCTCCAAATATAATTTACATATATATTGAACAATATCCAACACTAATTATCGAAAAATCAGTTTCTTAATTTGTAGCACTTTTTTTTAAAACATTCTCTTAATCATCGTTTGAAATTATAAATTTTGTAAATTCTGCATATCGATCGATCATATAATTTTATGAAATCCATCAAAATATGTGATAAAAGTTATAAATTTTATTAGTTTTTGCATATCATTTAATTTTGTGAAACCCATAAAAAAAAAATGTGTGTTTGGACAACATTAAGGAGAGAGATAAAACATGAAAAGAATACATTCAAGTTTTGTCCATTATGGATTCCATTATATGTATTCACCTTTGTGTTTCTTTTTTAAATTGAAACCATACATCCATATCCATCCATGATGTGTACACTTGGTGCATCAAAAGAATGGAAACTCATGTTCTGTTCCAATTCCCCCATAGAATAAGATAAGATCGATCTCCATCCACAACACGACCCACAACCCACAACACACAAGAACCCTTTTGGCAAGAACAAGAACAAGAACATCAATCTCAAGCTTGCAATAACTTGTAATAACTCCAAGGAGCATGTTAGGCCTTAGAGACCTAGTTCTGATAGCTCCAACGCACCAAGGGCAACCCATCTCAGAAAACCACAGCAACAGTGCTCCCAACCTCCCTCTGCCTTCTTCGGCAGCACTCAGCGTTGGGTTCGGCATTTTCCCTCTCCTCACGGCCACGCCATGCGTGCCACACCCTCACCAAACCAATCACGACCCTCATCAAGACCCCACCAACTGTTGGAACCTCAAGATGTGCCCAGAACCCAATGTGCCCCCCAAGAAGGGTCCCATCCACGTGGACCACGATCACGACCAGAATCACCACAAGGGTCTCGCCGAGAGCGATGAAAACGGGGCCTTTGGACCCGACTTTAGGGCGTGTCAGGACTGCGGCAACAGGGCTAAGAAAGATTGCATTTTCAGAAGGTGTAGGACTTGTTGCAAGGGACGTGGCTACGATTGCAACACTCACGTGAAGAGCACGTGGGTCCCCTCAATTCGCCGCCGGGAGAGGGACACGGTGGTTCCCTCCGCCGCCGCCGCCGCCGCCGCCGTTAAGAGGCCCAGACCTTTGGTGGGGTCATCGCAAAATGCCACTGCCACCTCTCATAGTTCCAACTCTAATGCTACAACACCTAAGAGCTTAGCTACTACTACTACCTCTTCTCATCAACAAGGTGCTTCCATTTTTCTCTTTCTTTCTCTCTCATTCTTTTTCACCCATCAAAGAAATTAAACAAAACCCTCAATTTTAATTTTCCCTCCTTTTGATATTTTTACTTGGGGGTGTATTGAAAATTTAATTGAAAGAAAGAAAGAAAAAATTGATTTGTTTTCTCTAGTACTAAATTTTATTAATTTTTGATTTCGGAGTTATAAAGTGGTGCGGAGAGACATAGCTTTAGAATGATAAAAAAGAAGTGAGTTCGAATGTCTAAAGTAACATAATTTACTTGATTACTAACTTTTACTAATAAAAAAAATATTAGTTCATTATTTACAGGGAATAATATTTTGTGCTTTGGAAACTAATCGGAGTAATTGCTATTTAATATGAATTTGAGGGTTGATGAGATTGAAATGATTATGGGATTTGAATGGTGATTTTGGAATGCAGATGCTAGCTTCAAACAGTCTTTACCGGGACATGTTCGTGCACCTGCGGTGTTCAAGTGTCACAGAGTCTCTGCCATTGGGAATGGTGAAGATGAATTTGCGTACTTGGCCACGGTGCACATTAGTGGCCACGTGTTCAAGGGGTTTCTCTATGACCATGGTGTTGATGGGAAAAATGCAAATGCAAATGCAAATGCAGTGCCTTGTGTTTCGGAACTGCAACTGGGGAACAATTGCAGTGGGAAGAACAGGGAATGTTCTTCTGCAATTGGGGTTCCAACCACCAATGACTACCCTGCTTCTGCGAGTTGAGGATTCATTTGAGGTACAAAATTAGTTAATTGGACCCACCTTAATGCAAAATAACATTCCCTACCCCCTTTCATTTTATTATTAAATTAAATCTAGTAATCTACAATTCTCAAACATTAAAATAAAGCATAGAAAGAAAAAAAAAAACATGTCTATGTGAAGAAAGTTTAAAAAATATTGCTATTATGTTGTGATGTTATTCATATGCTACATTCTTACACTTTCCTTAGTATTTCTTTTCTCACTATGAAACAAGGAGATGCATAAGAAGTAAAACAGAAAATTAACAACGTATAAATAACATTATTGAGAATATGTAAGGAAAAGAAGAGAGAAATATGTTGGATTTATATAAAAAGGGTAGAAGGACAATTTAACATGAATCCCTTTTGTTCATGCATGCTCTTAATTCATTTGAAGGGTTAAGAATAAGATAGAAAGGGAATTAGAGTCAAAGTGACTTTTGAAAATGTCACTTTCGAAAAACAAAAGGGAAAAATTAAAAAAAAGCACTGATCGTGCACTTCTCAATGTCCATTATAAGAGTGTTTATTGCATTTCCACGTTGCCATCTGTGTAGCATTTCCACCGCCGCTTCCATAAAGTTACATGCTTTATCACTTACATAATTTCTTTTTACGTCATATATTTTTGTAATATTAGTTCTCATTTTTTTCCATTGCATCAATTATTTTATTTTTTTTCCTTCCAATCTTTAATATATATAACTGTTTTTATTTATTTATTAAAAGTAAAGAATACTTTTTAAAAACATTTCTAAATTTGGATCAAAAGATACTCGTAATCTAGGAGCATTGTTCAGTGTGCACATATCATATAACATCTCTAATCCACATCAACATTCACTTTTTGAACATGGTAAATTAATAATGAATTGTGGAACATTTTTATATTAAAAAGGGGTAAATTGCGTCAATGAGAAAGTGCAACACACATACACACATTAACACCCTCTCCCCTATACACTGTTTTGCTTTTGGGGATTCGGAATATTTTTCCATTTTATAGAGAATGACAAGAATCATAGGGCTATAATATTTTTCTTTTGGCCACTCATGGATATAATGAAATAACTAGCAACATAATTATTAGGCAATTGAATTTTTTCATGCCATTCATCATACATATCTCACATAGTGCGGATATAGGTCGCCACCATTTTAATGCCCTAATTTTTTTTTTAATCATAAAAGTGTAATATAAGTTTTGTTATATATATATATATATAAACATTTTTCATTGTAATTTTTAATGAAAAGTTTCTATATATTAATTGTTTAACCGGTAATCTAAGGACACCGGTTAACAATATATATATATTCTTTTTATTTTCTTATTCAGGAGAAGTTTATGAATATTTATTTCAATTTTGAGTTAACTTCAACATTAACAAAGGAAAAAACACCATAATGTCGTTTGTAGGAATACGATCTCTCTCCAGCACGCCCATCTAATGCCACCTACTTTTTTTTACTGTCTATTTTACATTTTCTTGCATTGGAAAAAAGGACAAACTTTTTTGAGCAGATTTTTTTAGTGGTAATTGTGTTGGATTTATATTCATAACACTTCTAATATTTTTAGAGTTACTTTTATTTTATTTTATGCAATATATTTACTTAAATATTTGAAATAATATGTACATAATCTTATATATATTTGAATTTTGTTATTATTATTATTATAATTTTTATGAAATAAAAAAATACATTACATATTAATATAAAGTTCCAATAATTAGATCAATTTTAAAATTAATGTTTTATTACGTCTATAATAACTTATATTTTATGTTTAATAAAAAATCTCTCTTACGATTTAAGATTTTCATTTTACATTAATTACAGATTAAATTTTATAAGTTCTATATATTGTGATAGATCGTGCCATATCCCGTGATTTTTAATATATATATATCACTTGTTGTATTTGATCTTCCTAGAAGGATTTCTTTAATTATAATTTTTTATCTTCTTAGATGGAAATATTTCACCAAACAGAACAATTTGTTTATACAAGTTGTCCAAGTAGATAGGATTCGAACACTTACTGACTCTTGTAAATGCATAAAATTTAAGTTAGGAGAAAATGTTCACTTAATGCCTGTCAAATTTCTAAGAGAAATTATTATTGTGTCCTATGTGGAATACTATGGAGTAATGAAAAAAGAATTGTTTATACGTGTTGTATATTACATGTCTATTTGAATCGATATTATAAAGATCTCAAACGCTTATTTGCACATTCTAGAACACAAAACAGAAAAGTAAGAACAATAAAATATGGATTATGTTCAAAGGAAAGGTAATTCAAACACACCTAAAATTATTGGAAGAGGGTTATTTACCCATAGTATGCTTAATTTAGCTACCGAATTTGCCTCGCCAACTAATTTTTCCACAGTTGTTACGAGAGTGAAATATCTTGGAATTAAAGGAAGAGTTAACGAGCAATGAGATGATGATTGTTGATGTGGCATGTTGATAATTGATGTTTTGTTTTTATTGCTTTTATTTTCTGAATTGGTTTGTTCTTCTGATTTAGAACAGAACTTTGTGACATTTAGTGAGGATTAACAATGTCTAAATCTTCTATATATCAATAACAGGTGATGGATCAGTTTCATGAATCTTCAAAGGATGGCAGTTCATTCTGCAATTTTGCTGGGAAAACTGACCATATATGCTAAAGTGGGTCTTTAATTTTGTAAATTTCTCTTCCAAAAATGTTTATATGCATACATAAAGGTGAGGGTCCCCGGTTACATTTCTTGCACCAGATTAGGGACATTGATGTTGCGGGATTAATTTTATGTGCAATGCTTAATTAAAGTTTTTTTACTTTCATCTTATCTCAATGTTTATGTGACATTACAGGATATCATAACCGACCGAATATAGTTATTTGTTTTAATAATTATGTTTTTCTTCTCATTAGTTATACTATTAGCTATCTTCACCCGAATAATGTTTTTAATAAACATAATTTATATAATATTTCAAATAATTAAAAATTAATCTATATTAACATATGATCACAAATAACTTTTGATATTATTATTTGCTAAAAAAATAATAATAATTGATGCACAAAACAAAACTGCATAAGGTAGCTATAAAACAATGAACAAAACAAAAGTCAAATAGGACACAGAAGATTTAAAAATGGGACACCAAAGATTTAATGAATGGGGTGAGAAGTCTAAACTAAACTTTTTACAGAAATAGTATGTGATGATTACAGAATACATTCATGTATCACATTCAATGATGTGAAGCCGTACCTTAATTAACATAAGGGGAAAATAAGAAGAAAAGAAAGCATAACTCAATTAATCATGTACTTTATATGAGTATAATATATTTAACCAGATTTTGTTGAACATGTATGGGTTCCTAGTTCCTTGTATTTTTGCTGACACAGACAAGTAAATTACGGTGAGTTAAATTATGAAGTCTTATGGCTGATGACAACATTCATCTTGGATATTCAATATTTCATATATTTGAATTTGGTTTTTTAAAAAAATATATTTGGAATTTTAATAATTTGATTTAAAAATCATTTTAAAAGTATTTTTTTAACAAGATTACGAAATAAAGATGATAAAATGAGTCAATATATTTCGATTGTGAGCAAATATAAAATCTATTACAGTAGAAACTCTTTAAATTAATAATGTCAGGACCGGAAAAATTTATTAATTTAGAGAGTTATTAATTTATCGATAAATTAATAATTATTAATTTAAAGAGTTTTTAAGTAATTATACTGTACATACCAAATAAAAAGGTAAATTAGTCTATGCCTCTTAGAATTACGTTGCAGCGAACCCTGAGACTCAACGTAAATTAGTAACTTTTGAAGTACATATGCATTGAAAATCAATACGTAATGACTTTTGAAGTACATATGCATTGGAAATCAATAATGACTTTTGAAGTACAGTAAATGTAAACAAGAGGAATAAATGTGTTCAATAAGAAAAGTTAGAGATGAGCTCCAAATAGACTTGAACTTTAAAGGAAAACAGACAACTATTGAATCATATTTCAATAGAGTGTAATATATTTTTTTTCAGTTTCTATGAATTATTAATTTATGATTTTTTTGGGACCGAAAATTATAAAGGGATTCCTGAAAAATTATTATCTTATTATTCTATTGAGTTTTTCAATTTTTTACATTGGCCCAAGTTGAGACCGGACAAATTTATTATTTTAAAGAGTTTATTAATTTACCGAGTATTAATTTAAAGAGTTTCTACTGTATATCAATTCAAATTATCAATTAATAACTTGCTTTTGGAAGACATGATCAAATGCATTGAGAATCGTTCAAACATTGTTTGAATCCTTGCAATCGAGAAATCAAATCTTTCTTTATTTGATTATACACTTTTAATTCTAGATTTTTATTAAAACAAGCTTAGAGAATAATTGTATGGTATATGATAAAGTGACCTATGTTATGATTCTACATCTATTGGAAGACCTATAAGAAATATTATTAGTCTTTTATTAAAAATAAGAAATAGGAAATATGTTTATAGTGGTATGCTATATGTAACCATTGTATTGCTCCAGTAAAAGGAGAATTAATCCAAGAATTTAATTTCTATTTTCTTCCTTGCTTAACTTCTTAGGAGCTCTCCCTTGCTCGAAAAGGCTTCATAACATTGGTGCTTTCATTTTGGATCTTTTTCCCGTTGAACCTAGGTCGAAAATGGAGATTTCATTGTTTGATGGAACAAATGATGTTTATTGGTGGATTTTTTGTGCATTGTGAAATATTTTAGAGTGAAGGGAACATTAGAGGCAACAAAACTATTAGAACTTGTGCTAACATTGAAAAGTCAAGCTCTTCAATGGTGGTTATGGTGGTCTCGACATCATCTGCATGTAAGTTAGGAACCCTTCACTTCTACCTTTCATTGGTGTTTCAAGTTGGAATTTTGGAACATTCTTCCTATCTTCAACAACAAAGAAGGACTAAACTTTGATTCGTTTATTGAAAATTTTGCTCTGGATGAGATTGTAGGCCCCTTTTGACCATCAAAACTAGATGTGTTGTTTGCAAATTTAGAATTCGAGGCCACCAATTTTATTTTACAACAATGACGCAACACAACCTCGATGGGCAACCCATCTCTTAGGCCACCACCTTTGGAGTCATAATAATCAACCACTTTTGTTCATAGCTTGAACAAGATTCCACCACGAAAAACATTAGACAAAGCCTCAATCTCATTCCTACTACCATTGTCGAAATCACCATATCCTCCCTATTTGTCACGCATCCAATATAGTTTGTGTCATCATTATCCTCATCTGTTTTGCATCAGAAAAAGGATTAACATATCCCTTGAAGCACAAAAATCTTCAGAAAAAGCTGTTTTGGACTACACACACATGGTTCCTCTCTTTTAGTACCTAAAAGATGATAAGCAACTTCTTTGATCAAATAAGATGTGATAATTTGGTGAAATGCATTTAATGCACTAATAAACACTTCTCTCAATATTGAATGAAGATGAAGATGGACGAAGCAAGCCTGTGAGAGACACTCAAGGATTTGCAACAGTCATCTTCATGAAACACCTATATAAAGAAGCTTGAAGTTTTAGAAAGAAGAATGATCGAGTAAAAATAAAAACATTCATTATAAAAGTATATTTTTTCTTTATATAAACTTTGTATTAAATTAGTTGTATCACGTCTTGATAGTAAGACAAAATAACATTGTTAGTTTATCCAACTTTAACTTTGAGTTGTTACTTAGAGCCTGAATAGGCTTGATTGTAAAACAATACTTGATTGGTAGAGCCTAAAGAGACTTGACTGTAAAAGAATACCTAGTTATTAGAGCTTGAAATAACTTGACTATAAAAGAATACTTGGTTGTTAAAGTCTAGAGAAGCTTTGTGTTAAAAGAATAGTTGGGTAGTTGCTTGAAGAGGTAACTCAAAGAACACTTAGGTTGGGCCATATAAGTGACTTATAAAAGAATACTTATATCTTTGTAAAAGATAGTTGAACTTGATTGGGTTCATCAAGAATTGGATGTAGTCTCGATGATTGAGACGAACCAATATAAAAATATTGTGTGTTCCTTTTTACTTTACTCTTCGTTTGCACTTATAAGGTCTTGTTACTACTTTACTGTTTCAAAAAGTGTTGAATTTTTTATTGACACTATTCAACCCCTTTCTAGTGTGTCTCTTTTCTCCATGCATACTATTTTAGCACCTTAGTATTTGAAACACTTTTTGTAGGAAATTTTATTCAAAATAGTGAAAAGATAAATTATAAGTTCACTTATTAATAAAAAAAATAACCATATAAAAATAAGCTTATAATTTATAATTACAAGAAACTCCATTTAATTAGACTTATGGTCAAAGAATAAAATCCTTAAACTCTAAAATGATATATGAGAAAGTTTTGTATTCCTTTTGAGACAAAAAGAAAGTTATTTCCACCACATTTAATGAGAATCGAGAGATAGTCACCCGATGAGAGTGAGATTTTTGAGCAATCCTCTTGAGAAAAAGAAACTACTTATAATCTTACATTCATAATGGAGATTATTTACTGTACTAAGTGTCATGGTATTTTCTTACTAACATTAAGAAGCTTTCCATGTAAAAGATTTATATTATTTTCTAGGAGTGTTCACAAAACTATTTAAAACTAAACTTTTTAAATAACTAATCTAACTTCCCTTACCTCAGAGAGAAGAATCTGAGCAACCAACGAACTCTGCACGTCTTTGAGTTTGAAGGAGATGAAGAATGGTTGATGGACAACCTTGGTGCTCACCACTTCAGCCTTGGAGAAAGAAATCAGAATCAAGGTCTTAGAGACTTTGAGAGAAAAAGGAAGTGAAGGGAGAAGGGATATGAGAAAAGGGAGTTTGGGTGTTGCGGTTCTTACATGTAGGATACTCTCTACCTCAATCACGTCGAGCACGGGTGATTTTGGGTCGAGCGTGGATAAGACAAAGAACTTTCTACCTTAATGACGTCAATGGCCTAATAAATGGCGTCGGACGTGAGTTGCATGATGAAAAACTATTGTTTAAGTTATTTTAATAATTGAATAATGATGGATGATAGTAAACCTATGTGTGATAAGTTGTGAGTTGATTGATGATTGAGTTGTAAAGTAACATGTGTTGAGTTGTTTACATTGTTAGGTATGTGGTTGAGATACAAGTCCAATTTAAAGATACATGAAACTAGAGAAGAGTAAGTGATGACTTTGAAAACCAAATATCCCAATATGTGGATATGAGATGTAGTGCTATGAGAGCCCAAGTGTTGAAAAACCTTTAATATGTGAGTTGGTTGCTAAATGGTACGTTGTGTGTTGTCTCCTCTAAGTTTTATATGGTATCTATGTGTGGACAATATTGAGTGACACATGTATAAAGTAACAAACGGAGTAAAGTACCTGGTCGAAGACTTAATCCCTAACCTAGTATTAGAGGGGAGTAGTACTTGGAGGTCAGTAGACTAATCTCATAAGTGGTTTAGTTATACAAGTTAATGTCATGGTAGACTTATACGCAAATTATTCTATCCTGACAGTAGTACTAGGCTTCCTAATTTAAGTGACAAACCTAAGAAATCAAATTGAATTGTTAGTTGACCTGGTTGAGAAAGGTCACACATTGTGGATCGATAGGGTCTAGCCACTTAAACTGATCATTTTATGTTATACGAGATCTCTGTAGTTAATATGCATCAAATGTATTAAATGTGTTGTTGTGTTGTATGTGCTGAAATTGATTAAGTTGTCGTGTTGAGATTGTTGCGATGTTGTAAGTTACTATATTTTGATGAGATGGTATGATTTGTGTTGATGGTGTTGTATTGCTAAAAGTTATTTAATTTTGATTATATTTTGATTTTTTTTCACAAAACAGAAGAAAAAAAAAAGTATTTCAATCAATTAATTTAAAAATTAATCAATTAAACGTATTAATCAATTAAATTTCGATTTTAATCTATTAAACTATATGTTTTCGGTAAATTTTAGTAAGATCTACTATTTTTTCCCCTCCTTTCTATTCAATCTTGACAAACAAAGACAAATTTATTAATGAATCCTATTTTCATTGACTCCACCCAATTTCTGTAATATTTCCATGCAGCAACATACTGATAATGTTGATGATGTGTCACGATCAGTAGACCATATATCTTGAGGGAAAAAATTAGTCGTGTCTGGGACGATTTCCCGCGAAGAACGATTATGCCATCATTAGGTATGTGCAAGTGCAACGCATTTCCTTTTGGTTACTTTTTGTCAGTTTTCTAAAATATTTCTCATATAATTAATAAGTATAAAGGTAATATCTCAAATGCGTTTTCACTCTAAAATTAATTTTAAAAAAATAACTTTATGTGTACACGGGGTCTATGACGTAGTTACTATTGCCTATTGCTGATGTATTAGTTAAATTTGATCATCCTTAAATAAACAATTAAGAATTTTTTGTTTTTTTTATAATGTCATTTTGTCAGATAATTATTATATCGTGTATCTTCATAACTTTTAGTGTATCTGGGAATTATTTTCCCTTATATTAAAAAAAAAAAAGTTTACTGTTGAGATCAATCCCTACTTATAGTTATACTTCATATTAATGTCATAAATATTTTTAAAAAAATCAAAATAAGTAAATAGTCCGCCCAATAACTTTTATTCGTACCAAAAAAAAAACAAACTCGAGGTTACATACGTAAGAGGTCCAAGTATCTTTCACTTAAACTGTTAAACAACACACGTTAATTATTGTTTTTAGCTTTTGTGAAATAACGCAAGGAGTCTTATTGAATCAAAATTCAATTATTAATGAAAGATTTTTTCACTCATGATTAGTTTTAATTATAAAATAAAATCCAAATAAGCTTTCAGCCTCTACTAAATGAACCTGTTTCGATTTTCGATTCTAAAATTCTTATTTTTCTAAAATTGGAAATAATTTTATATGTCCCTAATGATAAAGACTAAATACTTTTAATTTATGCCTTTTTAAGTTTTACTAAAGATTCTCTGAAAAAAAAAGTTTAACTAAAATAGTCAAATAATAAATAAAATAGCTATAAATAATAAAATGGATGAAATATTTCACGAATTTATAGCCTCGGCTTCAAATCATAAAGTCGACATATCAAAAAACATTTCACGAATCTATCACTTTCAACTGAAATTAATATCACGGTTTGACCAGTAAAATCACTAGATTAAATATAAAAAATTGAAAATCAATTAATGATCTCCATCAGCAGCATTTACTGAAATTTCACGGCCAGAGAACTAAAACTGCATGGTATCTAATATCACAAATTCAGACAATTACATGTCTTCGGTTTTCCGGCTACAAAATTTTTTGTTCCATTGGGAACATAGCAAAAATCATAGATGTGAAATCAACTTGTTTGATGGAAACGAAATAAGGGCAATAATACAATATAAAGAAATACCACCTGCATTGTTCAAACTACAAACCCAAAAAACGGTGGCAAAAGGAATCTGAATCTATAGGCTTCCCAATCACTCATCATCAGAGTAATTAAACTTTACTGAGTGGGAATGTAAATCAATATGTCCTCCCCGATATGTTCCACGTTTCTTCTTGGTTTTCTCATGGCGAAAATCCCTGTAATAGAGAAAAAAGTTCCACGTCAATATACACAAAAAATGAAAAAATCAAAAAGAAAAGACAGCTATAGAATGTATAATTGTGTATATCAAAGGAATCTACGTAAAACCACGTATTTTAAACAAACATATTGAGTAAGAGCTGAATAGGGCAAACAGGTTTAAAAATGAATGACAACTCCAAATCCAATTATACACTATTCATAACATGAAAATCTATATTAAGCTAACTTTTTATTTGCCCATTAAAAAACAGATTTTTCTTTTGAAAGATTCACCAAAAAAAAAAAAAAAACTAGATGAAACAAGCGCTAAACTTCCAAGCCGAACTCAGTCCCACCACCCACATGAAACAAGTGCAAACATTAGAACGATAAATTACTCCATTACCCACATGAAATCACATACCTTCCTCTAACTTGATCAAGAATTTCTGCTGCTTTAGCACCATAACCATTCTCAGCACCATCCTGCAGACAGAAACACCAATACATATTTGTTAGAGAAAGCAACAAGGCCAAATTTACATCACCAAATGGATATGCATTAAAAATGAAAGGCCAAAAACTATCAATTCATCACACCTTTGCCCAATATGAGTTATCCTGAAGCCTCTCGTCGGCAAATTGTATCTTGTCAACTTGTACTCGCTGAAATGCCGCCTTCACTGGTTTTTGCTGAAATTACAGTTGTCCCAAACAAAAATTTCATCATGAATCTTAGCTTCATCAGTGAAATTGGAATTTTAGATTCATATCACTATAAAACCAAAATGTAGAATATAATAATCATAGACATAGAATGAGAGAAGACATAAAATTAAACAGTAGAACAAACATACTGAAAAGGACAGACCGATAGTAGATATGGGAGAAGTAAAGAAGTATGGGCATTGGGACAAACATTAGGAATTTATGATGTTAAACTATTTCATTAAAGGTAAACCAGCAAACAACTTAACCTGGAACAATACCTGAGTTTCAGGACTCTATTCGAGTATTCATAGCTTTAGTTGATGTTATAATTCTTTATTATGAATGTATGTTTCTTCAAAAATAATGATGAAGGCTAACATTGATAGAAACCAGTGTGCAAAAACAAAAAGTTGATTCTATCTTAAATGAGAGAAAAATAAGCACGGAGTTTGATTCAAAAGGTGCTTTATCTATAACATACTCAGAAAATAACCACTAGTTATGGCATACCTCAACTGATCCCTTTTGTTGTTTCTTCTGAGACCTCTGTACAGAAGATTTCTCTCCATCATTCTCAAGGTTCCCATTGGATTGCTCCTTAGATGTCTTCTGTAATTGATTGCCACTCAAATTTTCTATTTTTCTGCGTTTGGCTTCATCATCAGCCTTAATATCTGCAACCTGTTGACCATTTTCTTCAGAAATTGGTCTTTTCCTTTTCTTAGAATCTTTCTTCTCCTCATGTTTCATTTCTTTGTTTAATTCTTCAATGTTCTCTTCTGTAAGAACACTTTCATTGGGATCTCCAATATGCTCTATGGCATCACCTTGACCATCTCTCTTATCATTCTTTTTTGTTTTAGACTTAGATCTTTTCTCTGTCTTGGAACCATTAATAACTTTGGCATCAGCAGAAACATCATCCTTTACTTTATTTTTTGCAACAGTAGTAACTGAATCCAATTGATTGCCTTCCACATTATTAGCAAGAGATTCAGAAACTAACTTGCTTTTCTTTTTCTTCTTTTCCTTGGATTTACCATCTTTGTTTTTGCTGTGCACATGAAGGGTCGCAATATCAAAGCGACGACGGTTTCTAGATAACCGTCGCAATTTGTCCGTCACAATTTATCATTTTTCTTGTAGTGATTAAATGTTGCTTCCTGTTTGTAAACATTGCGTGAAGTCTTCCACGTTTGTTAGTTATCAATTTGAACACCCCTATTATTATTTTCCTACTCTTTGCTCTTATTTTATGCTTTCGCATAGTGTCTATTTTATGTTCATGTACATGGGAATTAGCTTAGTTAATTTCTAACAACTTTTGTCATGTTATGAAATCAAATGTTGGGATAAAAACAAGGTCTTACAACATTAGAATAAGATAAATGAGAGTTTATATAAAACACACATACTCAATTGGCCAGAGCCCTATGAAACCCTCGAAATGTTGCATAATAACACGTTATTCATGGCTATTTTATTTGTTTTATTGTTAAGTCTTTGACAAAACTTCACTTTTTTCGTTAAATGTTTATAATAAACAGGAAAAATATTTAAAAAGATGAAATTCATTCACTTAAGGAATAAAATGAAGTAATTATGAACTTTGAAGCTATGCACAGTCAAACTTACTTGAAGCATAATCGTGCTTCCACTACAAGAAAATGAAGATTTTGCGACAGTTATATGACCTACATTGCCACGGTTAGAACTGTCGCAAAGATACCATTGCGACGGTTCACCAACCATCGCAGAAATGTCCGTAATGAGTGAATTTTGCGACGGTTACTGGAACCGTTGCACAAACCGTCGCAAAATTGGAATTGCGACCCTTACAACACCATTTGTTATTATTCTTCTCAAGGATTTTATTTCACAATACTTCACTTTTTAGCATGTTTTGTCCTTACTTACACAGTTTCTAGGAAACTTCCTAGAAGGTCACTCATCCCTGTATTACTTCAAGTCAAGCACATTTAACTGTGGAGTTCTGATGAGATAAGCTATAGAAAAGCAGATACATGTTGTCAGTATAAGTAGTACTAATTAATTCATTTAAGTCATTCTCAACTATACAATCTCATACTTATACTATCTTGGATCCCTCTCATTCCGGTGTGTCCGAACCATTATAAATATATAATAATTATATTACTAATAATAATTATATTATATTTAATTAATATTTTACAAGAATGAAGTACCAAATCATCTTGAATTAATATAAAATTTTGTATATATGATCTAAGAGTAAAAAATTTTCAATCTAACGATTGAATTTATAAAATTCACATTTAATATAAAGTTATTGAGCAGTGTAATTCTTAGTAAAAGTTACATTGGTGTTATTATAACCTTTCTCTTTTAAAATATTATTTTTATAAATTAAATTTTAACATTTTAAATAAATTATTAATTAACTTAATTTATTTATTCATCTTAAATCTAAGATATAAAATTCAAAAAATATATTTAAACTTGTTTTATTTTCTAATCAATTTTTTCTATATTAATCATTAGTAAAATTTAATCTTTTAATTTAATAATTGGATCGATAAAATTTAACTTATATGATGAGTTATTGAGCGGAGTAACTTTATTAAAAGTTACTTTGTGAGTCATTTGATTCATCCTCTGTCTCTCTCTCTCTCTCTCTCCCTCTCTCTCTCTCTATATATATATAGATATATAATTTTTTGATGATAATTATGTATCTCATATTAAACAAAATATATATAAAATTGTTAATAAAATATAAGTTTATTAAGATAATATAATACTTCCAAAAGAAAAATATTACTTTTTCTCTAATCTACTATTAAATGTATTTTTAATCTTAAATTTTATCAAACTTCACCATAATTTTTGAACAAAATAATATTTAGTTTGTACTAAAAATAACTTTTAAATTCTAATTAAATAGGGGTTATATATATGTGTGTGTGTATTATATTCAAACCTAGAAGTGATTTTTAAGTTATTATTTGTGAAAAAATAATTAATTTATCAAATATCTCACATTTAATTAACCATTAAAATAATAAATTTCATAAATTATTTATTATTTTTTCAATATTCTCGATTTAATCCACAATTAAGATGTATTATTAATTTCACTAACACATAAAAAAATGTAATATTTTTTTTTTAATTTTTAGCTTCCTAGGATTAACATAAAACTTTTTTATTCTAAAATAATTTAAAAGATAGAGAAATAAAATTAATATAGTATATTAAAGTATTTTTTCCTTTTTAACATTTTTAAATGTAATTACATGTCATTATTATTTTATTTTTCTATTTTTTATTGAAAGTAAAATTATATAATTTTGGAGTGTGCATGACTTTGTGTGAATTTTTATTTCAATTTTTGTCTTGTAAATTGCGACGGTTGAGAGGTACTGTCGCAATGTTGGAAAATTTTGCGACGGTTGGGAAAAACCGTCGCAATGTTTGAAAATTTTTCAAAAGCGTCGCAATGTTGAAAAATTTTGCGATGATTGGGAGAAACCGTCGCAATGTTAAAAAATTTTGCGACGGTTTTGGGAGAAATCGTCGCAATGTTGAAAAATTTTGCAACGGTTGGGAGAAACCGTCGTATGAAGGGTCGCAATATCAAAGCGACAACAGTTTCAGGATAACCGTCGCAATTTATCCGTCGCAATTCATCATTTTCCTTGTAGTGTTCAAAAGAAAGTGCGTCTTTGTTGAATGAAGCACACTCATGCTATGAAGCAAGACTATGCTTGCTATTATGCACAATTGTGCTATTCTTTTAGAGATTTTTGGTTGGGAAAACATGCCCTTGTTATTGATGAAGCATGCCGATGCTTCCCTTTTCTCTAAAAAAAACACACCCTTGTTAATGAAGAAGCACGCCCTTAGTTATTAAGCACGATCATGCTTGTTAAGATGCACAACCGTGCTTAGTAGTTCATCCTAATATTTTACTATAAATAGAGATGTTCAGGCCATATTTTTAGCATATAATTTTTAGTTTTAGTTTTATATTTTCTCTCTCTTTTTTCTATTCTAGGGTTGTGATGTAATTGTTCCTCATGAACCCCCAATAATAAATTGAATGAATTCCTTTTTTGTTAATTATCATATTATTTTAGTATTTTCAATTCATATCCTAGTTAATTAAAAGTGCATGATTAAACTCTTTGATTAACAAAACTCTAAAATAATTAAATTTTGAAAATTTGCATGATCAAGTTATTTGCTTAACTCTCAATTGAATTAATTTATTAATTCATTTCTATGTTTTTATGCTTTCTTTTATGAATAAAATTTTTATGATAAATTTGGGATTTTCTTAAAATAAAGACTATTGGCTTCTTAAAACTAAAGAGTTGTTAGCATTTTAGAAGTAAATTGATGCCGATAATTTATAATTCATGAAATTCATCTCGGGGATTGAGAACAATAAGTCACAATCCTAGGATTTATAATCTTTGAATCTCAATCTATTTAGTTTTTGCTTTAATTTTTTATCTTACAAATCAAATTTTGTCCATTCAAACTATCAAACACCATAATTATGTTGGTAATTGTTTGAGCATAGTCCTTTGGGTTCAATATTTGAACTTTGTCCATTGTTACTACTATAGTAAGGTATGTTCTCCTTTAGGCGCATTTTAAATGCAACAAGGCCTTTCAGATGATAAATAAAAGTAAAACCGTGAAGGCATAAACCCAAAGTGAACAATATCTTACTATTATGGAGTTGTGTAAATAAATGATAAAAAAAGATATAATAACCCTTCTCTTGATGAATATATCCCCTCAAAAACAAATACTAATAACATAACCCTAACAGTGGTATCAAAGTCACTAGTTGGATTTGGTGACAAATAACCATACAAACATAAAAAATGATTCCAATGTTGTTGGTTGGATTCAATGACAACAATCAAATAGCCTATAAACCATACAAAAATAAACAATAACAACATAAGTTTAACACAAAAACAAATTTCACTAAATGGAAGGTTAGGTATTTTGTTTGAAAGAATTAATGGTTGTTGGGATACAAAAATGAGGTTCCACATTGTTAAAACAAGAGGAAAAATAGATTTTATAAAGCACACACATACTTTATTGAAAAAATATTTTTTGGGAGATGATCAAAAGTAAAACCATGAGGGTTTAACCTCAAAGCAAATAATATTATATCAATGTGAAGATGTGTATAAATAACCAATAATATAAATCCAATAACCCTAACAGTGGTATCAAAGTCACTAGTTGAATTCGGTGACAACCAATAACTTATACTTCATACAAACAAAAAACAACAACAAAAATGTAATACAAAGAAAGATTCCACAAAATGAGAGTTTAGGTCCTTTGTTTGAGAAAATGATTAGGATATAAATGAGGTATCACATTATTAGAACAAGAGAAATAAGAGTTTATAAAATTCATATATTTCATTGAAAAGAGGTTTTTCAAATGATGACCAAAAGCAAAACCCTAAGAGTTTAAGTCCAAAGTGAACAATATCTTATCCATTATGGAAATGTGTGCAAAAATTCCCAATAAAACAATAAAAATATCATACTCCGTTTGAATAAATATATCCTTCTTAAATAAGTACAAAACATAATACCCTTACAGAAAAGACATAAAATAGTTATGATAAGGTCCACTACCTTCTGTTTGTTCATGGATATGGTTCACACAATGTTCCAAAGCTAACAATCAAGAATTAATTTGTGCTCGCTAGACATGACTTCATGTAGATTATACTAATTTTTCATTGATGTTTTTCAATCTCATAACTTGTCATTATTATTTTACTTAATAATATAAGAGAATTCAAATTCAAACCTGTACCGGGAGAACCCTATCGGTCACGTGGACCAACACGTGCCGTTCCTTTAGATACCCACGCGAAGTGAACCATGCCTATGTAAACCTTGACGTTAACATCGGCTCGGCATACAGCTGAAGGAAGAGAATAGTCTGCTAACAATATCGACTCGGCTGAAGGCCGATACAAACAACATCATGATGCATCTCCGTATACTACGTGTCGGCTCGGCCAAACGCCGATCAAGTAGGATAACCGAATAAGCATCTGTCAGCCCGGTCAACAGCCGAAGACGTTCAACTTCCCTAGCCTTAACCTGTCGGCTTGGCGATATGCCGAAGGGTAAAACGGATTACAGTACAGATCACAGTTAACAAGGATAAGCGCATGATTAAGACATAATTAGCTGATCAACGTCATATTACCTAATTTGGTAAGCCTCAGAAGAGGCCCACGATTGACAAGGCCCATCAATGGTAGTATAAATAGGTCATTTATATCGAGGTACGTCACTGTTCATTTATTACCCTAGAAAATCGTGCTTGTCCTGACTTGAGCGTCGGAATGCCTTTTACAGGTACCTCCCCCCTCTGAAGAGTCCACCAGAAGCTCCTGTTCAGCCTTTCTCATCCCAGAAGATTACGAGTGTGCCCTCAGACAGGTACATATTGGCGCCCACCGTGGGGCCGAACCGATCACTGATGAAACTTTTGAAGAATCATTATGGCAAAGACAAGAAGAACTAACGTAGAAGACCACCAGTCCGAAGATGAACACAGGTCCGGGGTAGAGAACGCTGAGACGGTAGAAGAGATAAATTTGACCGATATGGTACGTCAAATGAAAGAAGAAATGGCCGCCATGAGGCAGCAACGGGAGAAAGATGCTGAAGAGATGGTCGCGCTACGACAAGAGAATGATGCTCTCAAAAACCAGTACCGGGATCCCACGTGGAAACCCTCTAAGATGACCCACACTCAGGGGTCATTTCACTCGCTCGACCATCACACCTCTATCCCTCACACTTCTGTTGCAGCCCCAGGCATTCATGCTTCGGTCGGCCGACCGATACAACCAATGCCGACCAGAGCACACCGACACCCCTTCTCCCCAAACATCATGCAGTCTTCACTCCTTGACCATTGGAAGTCCTTGCCACTCGACAAGTACGATGGTACAACCGACCCAGATGAGCATGTGGACGTGTTCTTAACTCAGGTTACTCTGAGCACTACTGATGACGCCGCCTTGTGTCGAATCTTCCCAACGTCATTGAAAGGGCGAGCGCTGAGCTGGTTTACTCGGCTTCCTGCTAACTCGATTGACTCGTTCAACACGTTAGCTTCCCAATTCACCATTCAAGTCGCTACAAGCCGATCCCACCAGTTGACCTCTTTGGCATTAGTTAGTATCTGTCAGGAGAAAAAGGAATCCCTCCGGGCATTCATAAGCCGGTTTAACAAAGCGGCGCTCGAAATCCGAGACCTGAACCCCGCTGTAGCTCTACACCACCTCACCACAGCTTTGAAACCAGGGCCCTTCGCCAACAACATTTGCAAGAAACCTCCCACTGACATGGATGACTTGCATCGGCGAGCCAACAAATACATGCAGATGGAAGAATTAGCTGAGTTCCGTAACCAAGCCCGGGCGGAGGTGTCGGCAAAACCTGACAAGCAGGCCGAGAATAATTTTCGGAGCCGTCCGAAAGAGCTAATTCCCTGAGAGAAGCCTCCTCGCGGGCTGAGGTACTCGCAGTATACGCCACTCAATACTAGCAGATCGGCTATACTAGAGCAAGCACTGGCCTCAGAAGTACTAGCCGTCCCGAAACGAGCTTCGACCCCTCCCAGGGCCGATACAACGAAGTCTTGCAGGTACCATCGCAATCGAGGGCATTCAACATAGGAATACGCGGCCTTGAAAGATAAAATTGAAGATTTAATCAAGCAGGGGCAGCTGCAAGACTTCGTGGACCGTCCGAACTCATCTCGACACATGGACCGGTCACGGCGGCACGATCAGCCCGAGCAGAGGAGAACAGAAACACGCTCATACAGGGAACGCAGTCGGTCAAGAGATAGGAGAGAAGAGGAGCCTTCAACACAGCCTCGGCGAGTCATCAACACCATAGCCGACGGATTCGCTGGTGGTGGCTCATCCTCGTCAGCACAACGGAGGCACCTGCGGGCCGTTCGGCACGTGCACGCCGTGGAAATAGTCCGTCGCCGTTTACCCACCATAACCTTCACCGACGCCGATTTCAAAGGCATCGACCCGGACCAGGATGATCCAATGGTAATTAGTTTCGAAATTCACAATTGTATTGTGCGTAAAACGTTGGTTGATCAGGGGACTTCGGCTGATATCCTTTACTGGAACACGTTCAAGCAATTGGGCATCCCAGAATCCGAACTGGTCCCTTATGATGAACCCTTGGTTGGGTTCTCAGGCGAACGAGTCAAGAAGAAAGGGTACATCAGGCTGACGACCAGGTTCGGGTTTGAAGGAACAGAATGTCGAGACGTTTCGGTAAAATATGTAGTGGTTCACGCCAACACATCCTATAATATTTTACTTGGCCGACCATCCTTAAATCGGCTCGGAGCAATCGTGTCCACCCCTCATTTATCCATGAAGTTCCCGGCCGAGTCAGGACGAGTCATCACGGTCCATGCCGATCAGAAGACTGCGCGAGAATGCTGCTTTTCCAGCTTGCGATTACCAAAAGTGAACGACGAAGCGCCCAAGGAGCCGAAAGGCGTTCACTCGGTGTCACAGCAATCGGCCATGGACCTCGACCCTCGGATCGATTAAGACGAGAGGGTAGAACCTATTGAAGACAAGCAATCGGTTCAAGTGGGAATGCTGGAATCCCAAGTTACTTACATAGGGGGCAACCTATCTGAACAAGAGCGATTGACTATCAGCCAAGTGATCCTTGAAAACAATGATTTATTTGCTTGGCATCTGTCCGACATGCCTGGCATTGATCCCAATTTTCTCTGCCACAAGTTGTCAATAAGCAAGGAAGCAAGGTCGATCGCTCAACGGCGCCGGAAGGCCAGAGAGGAAAGGAAGGCAGCGATAGAAGCTGAAGTGGGCAAGCTGTTGGATGCTCGGTTCATCCGAGAAGTACATTATACAACCTGGCTGGCCAACGTAGTCATGGTCAAGAAACCGAATGGGAAGTGGCGCATGTGCACCGACTACACCAACTTAAACAAAGCTTGCCCGAAGGACGCCTACCCCCTATCAAATATTGATCGGCTTGTGGATGGGGCGTCTGGTCACAAATTTTTGTCGTTCCTGGATGCGTACTCCGGATACAATCAAATCCGTATGCACCCCCAAGATGAAGAGAAAATGGCGTTCATCACCGAAACGATCAATTACTGCTACCGGGTGATGCCCTTCAGATTAAAAAATGTCGGAGCCACCTATCAGCGACTGATGAACAAAATTTTCAATGACAACATTGGCCGAAGCATGGAAGTATACATTGATGATATGGTTGTAAAGTCAAGTAACGTATCCGCACATACACAAGACTTGACCAAGGTGTTCCAGGCGCTTCGGCAACACCAAATGAGGCTCAACCCCGAGAAGTGTGTGTTCGGGGTCTCAGGCGGCAAATTTTTAGGGTTCATGCTGTCCAGCCGAGGCATTGAGGCAAATCCTGACAAATGCCAAGCCATTCTGGATATGAAAAGTCCAGGTACTCTAAAAGAGATTCAGAAGTTAGTAGGTCGGCTCACCTCACTCTCTCGGTTCCTTCCTTGCCTGGCCGAGATAGCTAAACCTATCCTCCTCTTGCTGAAGAAGACGGAGCGGGTCAAATGGACCCAGAAGTGCGAAGAATCATTCCGACAGTTCATGGAGCGTCTTAGTACACCTCCGATCCTTTCTAAACCAGCTTCCAACCTCGACATGATTGTGTATTTGGTTGTTTCAGGCAGTTCAATCAGTGTTGTCCTAATACAAGAGAACCAAGACGAACAATAACTTGTATATTTCATCAGTCGAACACTACAGGATGCCGAACGACACTATCAGTTGATAGAAAAAGTTGCCTTAGGGCTCATCTACACCGCCCGCCGACTCAGGTAGTACTTCCAAAGCCACAAGATAGTTGTCCGAACTGATTGTCCGATTGCAAAAGTCCTAAGGAAACCAGAAATTATCGGCCAGATGATGGCATGGTCGGTCGAGCTCTCAGAGTTCGACGTGTCTTTCGAGCCGAGAGGCCCCATCAAGTCGCAGCACTTAGTCGACTTTGTCAACGAGCTCACTCCTCCGGGCCGTTTTGAAGACGAGCCGTGGACCATGCATGTCGATGGGTCCTCCAATGCCCAAGGTAGTGGGGCAAGGATAATTCTAGCTAGTCCTTCAGGCATCACAGTTGAACAGTCCCTTCGCTTCGGCTTCCGAGCATCCAACAACCAAGCGGAATATGAAGCCTTACTAGCCGGGATGCGGTTAGCAACCGAAATGGGTGTGAAAAAAGTCATATGCTGGACCGACTCGAAGATCGTGGCCGAACAGGTCAATGATAACTTTTAGGTCAAAGACTCCAATCTGTTGCAATACTACCACCTCTTCCAAAAGCTCAAGGACTATTCCTTCCCCAAGTGTGACAGTTGAGTGTATGACAACCGGTACTGAAACGCCGACCTGGATGATCGCCATTCGGAGCTTTATTGTCCGAGGGGAGTTGCCAACCGACCCGATGGAAGCGAAGAAGTTACGAACACAAGCGGCTCGGTGCTCCATGGTGGCCGATGAGCTCTACAGGCGAGGATTCTCCACCCCGCTGCTCAAATGTATTGACAATCACCAAGCTGACTACGTAATAAGGGAAATCCACGAAGGTATCTGCGGCTCCCACTTAGGGGGACGAACTTTGGCAGCCAAAGTCTTGCGAGCTGGCTACTATTGGCCAACCCTAAAGGGAGATTGTGCCGAGTTTGTTAAAAAATGTGTGCAATGTCAAAGGCATGGGAACCTCATCCACGCTTCGGCAGCCGAGTTGCACAGTACAGCTCCCCATGGCCGTTTGCCTTATGGGGTATAGACGTGCATGGACCGTTCCCTGTGGCAAGGGGGCAAGTTAAATTTCTTCTCGTCGCGGTGGATTACTTTACAAAGTGGATAGAAGCCAAATCGCTCGCCCGCATCTCCGCAGCCAATGTCCAAAAGTTCGTTTGGAAAAATGTTGTTACCCGCTTCGGCATCCCGTATGCCATCATTTCGGACAATGGCCTTCAATTCACTGACAAGAAGTTCAACATTTTCCTTGAAAACCTCCGCATTCGGCACCGGTTCACATCAGTGGAACATCCTCAGTCAAATGGGCAGGCCGAAGCAGCCAACAAAGTCATACTGACAGAATTGAAGAAGAGACTAGGTTCGGCAAAAGGAGCATGGGCTGACGAGTTACCGGAAGTCCTTTGGGAGTACCGATGTACACCACAATCCACCACTAAGGAGACGCCTTTTCGCCTAACATACGGCGCGGATGCGATGATCCCGGTAAAGGTGGGGGAGCCATCATTCCGGCGGCAGCACTTCCATGAGGAATCTAATGACAGTTCACTCCGAGCTGAGCTCGATGTTCTGGACAAGGTGCGAGAAAAGACGCAGGTTGTGGCCGAAGCATGTAAACAACGGATGAGCTGACGCTTTAATTCCAACTTAAAGCCAAGGACATTTCATGAAGGCGACCTCGTCTAGAGAGCAACTGGGTCGGCAAGACGCAACCCCTCTGAAGGAAAGCTCTCGGCCAATTGGGACGGACCGTTCCGGATACGGCATGCAATCCACAATGGAGCATACAAGTTGGAAGAACTGTCCGGCAAGGTCATTCCAAGAACTTGGAATTCTACCCACCTGAAGACATACTACAGTTAAATTCAATTTTGTAACACCTACACAATGTATATGTATCACGATGCACTCTTTTCCTTGACTGATCTTTTTTCCCCTTATAAAAACCTGAAAAGGGGTTTTTGGTCGGCAAGGTTTTTAACGAGGCATCAATCCATTAATGAGAATACATTTCAAGCATTCAAGGTTGTCATAATCTTTGTTTTGTTAAAATTACAAGTCTTCCCTCCCGAGATCTCTCTCGGCCAAGGATGTGGCTTATGTTATTTACAAGTCTTCCCTCTCGAGATCTCTCTCGGCCAAGGATGTGGCTTACGTTATTTACAAGTCTTCCCTCCCGAGATCTCTCTCGGCCAAGGATGTGGCTTACGTTATTTACAAGTCTTCCCTCCTGAGATCTCTCTCGGCCAAGGATGTGACTTACGATTAATTTTACATCTTCCCTCCCGAGATCTCTCTCGGCCAAGGACGCAGCTTAAATTAACTTAGAGTTTTCATCACGAAAAAAGGCAATTATAATATACGACAACAAAAGAAATCCAGATTCATTAAACAGGGCACTAGCGGCCCAAAAGAGTACATTAAAAAGGGCGCTATCGGCCCATCATTACAACAAAATTAACAGCTTAAGACCCCACTTCCGGTTCCCCATGAACCGGACCATCTTCAGGCGCACCTTCCTCATACGCCGTCTCCTCCTCATTCGGCCCAGCTGGCGGTGCCGGGGCTTCCTCGTCGGCTTGTTGGTCTGGAGGGATGGAGGACAGGTCCACCAACTTCCCCTGGAAGAAATCCTTCGTCATATCAAGATGAAATTCAGGGGGGAAGTCGCCGAAGAAGCATACTTGCCGAGGCGCCTGAGCAAAGCCAACCTGATGCTGAGAGAGGACCTTGTTGCGGACCTTCTCCCTATAAGCCCCGAAAGCAATCTTTTCAGCATCCAACTCCTTGCCCAGAACAGCAACCTTCTCTGTCTCATTCTTCAAGGCCAGCTCAAGACGCTGAACCTTCAGAGCCAGGTCGTCAGCAGTTCGCCCCCGGCGATCTAGCTCGGCCTGATATTTGCTATTGGTCGTTTGGGCGTCAGTAAGCGCCATCAACGTCTCTTGGAGAGACTTTTCCTGCTCAGCCAGTTGCCGAAGAAGCCCATCGGCCTCACCGTTCGGCTCCATCACAATGCTCTGTGCCACGACCATAGCACGCACTTGGAACTCACAGAAGAAGCTCCAATTCTGAGCCGAGGTCGTGCGACTCAACACTCCTTGACCCGATTCAGAGGTCAAGTCTTGGCTCAGAAAATCCTGAGCGTTAACATTATTATCCAGGAAACTTGGTCCGACCAAACCCTAGGGAACGGTTGGGGTAGCCAGGCGTTGTTGTTTAGCCTGACAGCTTTGTTCCTCGGCCCGGGTATCCGCGGGCCTTCTTTTTTCACTTTGGGGCCTATTCGACCCCTTGCCTCCCTTCGTCACCTTGGGGGCCGATCTCGTCCCGCCACCTTGAGGGACAGGAGTGTTGTTTCCACCCACGCGCCCTTCAGCCATGGTTCTTGTAGTCGTCGGTGCCGCCACTCGGCTACCGATCAGCCGGCGGATATCCAAGTCATCATCTCCATAACTCGCCATGATACCTGCACATCATTAGTCAAAATCAATGATAACGCAAGAATTCACATCAGTAGGAAAATTACTATACCAATTAAATCTTCTACTACATCGGCCGATTCACACAATCGGACCAGGGGTCGACATGGTAGAGGCCGAGGCAACTTCTCGAGAAAATTTAAACTAGCCCTCTCTTCTGGGGACATTCGAGACTTGGACACCGTGTCGTATTTTCGTGGCTTCTGGGTCCAGTACAACGAAAACAATGGTCTCCTTTCGGCATCAAAGAAATACTTATTTCCTCTTGTCGGTCGAATCATCACCTTAAGAAATCCTATTTTAAAATTTTTATAGGAGGTGGTGTAAGGCTGCAACAAACAGTTGCCGTGCCGAACCAGCGACAACCATTTAGCCTTCTTCGTTGGCCGAGACGAATAATGGTAAAGAAACAAGTGCGGGGTAGGCTTGATGTTGACTGCCAAGCAAAGCTGTCGGAAACCTTGCATAGCCGCCCAAGTATTCGGATGAACTTGGCTTGGCGCCACATTCAAAAGTCGCAATATACCCACGAAATAATCATCGAAGGGAAGCGTCACCTTCAAATCTCGAAACATGTAATCGTATACGTAAAAAAACTGGTACTTGCACGACTCTTGATCCAGGTATACGAAATCGGGGTTGGGCCCTCCGTCGCCTCGGCATAGCTGAAAGAAGATGGCGGAAGGCTCCTCCTCCTCGGGAAAAGTCAAGCACTTCGTGGCCTAAATGAAAAGAGTGATAGCATCCTGTCGGTATACCGAGAGTACACGCTACCAACCTCCCCATGCACCCACGAGTAGCCAGGGGTGTCTATGGGACCGAAACGCCTACCAGTTCCACCACCCCTGACCGGACGATCCTCAGACACTATCGCTGATGAAGATTCACTCTCATCCGGTCGACCCTCGGACCCTGAAATGGACTCTATGTTCTCCTCCCTGTTCGAAGCCGAGGCCGAGTGGTTGCCTCGGTTCGGCGCTTCTTACGACCCGGTGCCAGCGGAGTCTCTCGTGTCCCCAGAAGAGCCGATGTGAACAACGTCCCTATCTGCCATAGTAACGTACCTTTAAGTGGAGCTTGGTTGATCTCAATGAAAACGCTCGAACGCTACAACTGCACTTTGACTTCGGCTCGGAACAAGTAATAAACGCGTACCTTTCAAGTCCCCACCACATGCCTATTTATAGGCGTTCCTTGCAATTATATCAAACGCCGCACCCCTCTGCACACCGTTGGATCAATTAGATCCAATGGCTCATGATGCATAACCCCTCGCATGCGTCATTAATACCCAACGAATATAACCTTTGGTATTCTAACAATGGTTACAACTCTTCACATTCCATCAGCAGCTATAACCCCTCGTATGCGTCATTAGTGCCCAACGGTTACAACCCTTCGCTTCCCATCAGAAGTTATAACCCTTGGCCTTCCCTCAAAAGAAGTAACAACCGAAATACCACATTTACCCTTTGCGTCATTTCGCTCCTCAAGGCTGGGGGCCTTGTGTACCAGGAGAACCCTATCGGTCACGTGGACCAACACGTGCCGTTCCGTTAGATACCCACGCGAAGTGAACCATGCCTATGTAAACCTTGACGTTAACATCGGCTCGACATACAGCCGAAGGAAGAGAATAGTCTGCTAACAATATCGGCTCGGCTGAAGGCCGATACAAACAGCATCATGATGCATCTCCGTATACTACATGTCGGCTCGGCCAAACGCCGATCAAGTAGGATAACCGAATAAGCATCTGTCAGCCCGGTCAACAGCCGAAGACGTTCAACTTCCCTAGCCTTAAGCTGTCGGCTCGGCGATATGCCGAAGGGTAAAACGGATTACAGTACAGATCACAGTTAACAAGGATAAGCGCATGATTAAGACATAATTAGCTGATCAGCGTCATATTACCTAATTTGGTAAGCCTCAGAAGAGGCCCACGATTGACAAGGCCCATCAATGGTAGTATAAATAGGTCATTTATATCGAGGTACGTCACTGTTCATTTATTACCCTAGAAAATCGTGCATGTCCTGACTTGAGCGTCGGAATGCCTTTTGCAGGTACCTCCCCCCTCTGAAGAGTCCACCAGAAGCTCCCGTTCAGCCCTTCTCATCCCAGAAGATTACGAGTGTGCCATCAGACAGGTACAAAACCAATAAAAATGTTTTAAAGAATCATGTAAATATATTATTATCAAATTGTGAATTTTATATAATTAAAAATGGTTAAATTTTCTAATAATTATTTTAAAAACTATACTTTGAATAATTTTTATTTAGTGCAATGTAAAAACCTTAACAATAATAATGCATAAAACAAAACTCTTAAAAGAATATAGATAACATTACTTGAGCAAAAATAAGTATAGAAAAAACACTTGTTAAAGTAAAACTATTGTTTTATATGTAATATGCATGGGAGATTTGAACAAAATGAAAAGGGAGAAAGCAAAAACACAAATTAAAATGATTAACCAATCATTACCTTCACAAAAGTTCTTTGTTCATAGAAGACACAAAACCATAGCATGCAACATTCCTAAAAATTATCTACTTTTGCACACAACTAATTTTCCACCTCATCTTCTTCTGTATGTACATTTTATCCAATGCTGAATCTCATAGGCCTCATTTAGGAGACCAAAGAAAATGGTTACAAAAAAGAATAATTTCCAATCTTGGTTTTCCCTTTGTTAATTCATTTACAATTGGAAAAGGCTTTAATTAACTCTTAACATCAATTGATCTACACTACAACATACATTTGTTGTGACTATAAATAAAATAAAGCCACTAAAAAGAAGGGATGTGGAGGATGATGGACATTAAAATGAACAAGATTTAGAAAATTTGTATCTCCTTTCTGATCACAAATAGCCTCCAATAAGTGTGTTGGTTGCCAAACTGGGTATGAGTATCATCAATGTGTTGGTTAGAACTTTGTCATTTCCTTAAAACTTTACATTGGTGGCCACCAGTTGCAAGTTGAATATTTAGCATCAAAACTACACACTTTCAAGTGTCCTCTACAAAAACTCTGAAGATGAAATCACGAAAGCGTTTTGAGTATAGTCTTGGATCAACTGCAGAGATTGAAGTTGGATCATATTGGAATGATTTGTAAGCATGCTCAAGCTTTTTACTGATATCATAGTCTTGTAATATGTCTATAATACCGAAAAAAATGATGATCTCGTATAACTCCCCAGTTGGTTGTCCAACCAACTGAGGAGTGTCACTGGTGCTTTTTCTCATAGTCATTTCAGCTCGAGCTGGCATGTTTACTCCTAATTGAATCCACCTAAAACATAAAACACAATGCAAGTTTTTCAAAAAATGCAAGGAAGAAACACTTCTTGACTAAGAGCATCAAAGTATGGTAACCAAAGTCTTGAGTAGCAATGTAAGATTTATGTATATTTTACGGAAATTAAGGGGAGGTGAAAAGTATTTTCCCTAAAAATAACTTGGTAAAGACTAAACAATTGAGTAAACACTCAAATTAGTCATTAAATTTCAAAGACGTTGTCATATTAGTCTCCAAAACTAAAAAGTTATTAAATACGTCTCTTAAAGTGCAAATTCACGGTAAAATTAGTGCAAAACTCAAAAAAATGTGTAACTAAAGTGATAATACTTATGTATATTCAGGGACTAAGATGACAATAAGTAGTTAAATTTTTTAAGGACTTATTTGTCATTCTATAAACTTATTTGATAATTTCTTAATTTTATGGATCAATATAATAGTGTCTTTCAAATTTAGGGATCAAAGCGGGTGTTTACTTCTCAACAATCTCATTGCTAATTGATAAATTGGACTACATGTTCTGTTGAATTAGTAAAATGGTTATGTAACTGAAAACTAATGCTCGGTCTAGTTTAATTTGTATTTATTTCAATCAATATTGAAGTTGGTAAAATAATTGAAACTTCAGCCAGGATGGATTTATACTTATGGAGAATTTTATCTTATTTTATTTTCACATTGTTTTAGAAATATTGTTTGAAAAAGTTTATCCAAACAGATTCTATGTACCTGCTAGGATCCATAATAAGATGATCTATATCCACTCCAGAAAGACGAGGGCCTGCATCATTGAAACTGGTTGGCGTGCAACCCGATGTACTATGACGACTAGGTGTAACAGTGCCACTTGATGTTGTTTCTTTGAAATGAAGACCCACCAACATACTGTAATCCATAATCCTCTCTTGTTCAAGAAAGTCACAGTCCCTATCCACTTGCCTGCATGAAAACATTCTTAGAAATATAACCAAAACTTCCAAAATACCCCACAATATAAATGTCAAGTCACAAAGCCACATTTTAATGCATCAATCATATCATATAAAATTGTAGACAATTTTGCAGCTTATGCAACATTTTCAGGGAAAATTTCATATTTCTTTGGTGATTGGTGTGGAGCTTGTATCTTTCAACTAAAAGAGGATTAATTAAATTTGTAATTTACTTTATTGCTTCAAAAATCATAGTTTTAAAACCCGGAGCGGTCATCGAATTGGTTAAGGTACTGGGTCAGTGGGTCAAAGGTTGAACCGGTAGGTCACTAATTGAACCGCATGACTCGATTTTTATTAAAAAATATTTATATTAAATATATTTTATACTTATAAATTTTAATAAATTCATCTTATTTTGAATTAATTTTTCTATCTTATTTAAAATTATTTTTATTTTGTAAAAAAATACATAAAAAAATTACATGTTAAACGGTATATTAATATAAATTAAAAATATAAATAATATGTACATATATAATATACTTGCAATTAATATCACAAAATAATATATGTAATATTTACATAAATATTACATTATTAAATATATAATTTAACTTTAATGAAACAAATACTCACATAGTGTAATGTCCTACATACTATACTGTCTATACATAAACATAAATAGTAGGAAAAGAAGAAATTAGCAAGAAATTCACCTGCAGAATTCTTGGAACCATGACTTCTGCAACCGGAATATAAAATTTAGGTCGAGGTCCTTGAGCGTTGTTGTTGGCTCTATTTCTGATTCGGGTTTATCAGTATTGCGACCAAAGGTTGAACCTTTTAAGTCAAAGCGCTTGTGAATGGCATGTTGAGAACAAAATAGGTTTCCCATGATGACAAAGCGAACCTAAGATTGTTGAAGTGTAATTAGTACTAAAAGCTTTTAACACCAAAATACAAGGTTACACATGCCTTAGTATTACCTTCTTTTGTGCACTCCCTGTTAGTTTAACACAATGGAGGCCATAAAACCTGGTGACTAGAGTGTTCTCAAAAGCTCGAACATGTTTATAATAAGCAGGAAGCATTCTCATAAAAACCTACAATCATGAAATAAAGTTTAGACTAAAACATCACTCAATAGATATATAACCTTCGCTATGTAAGAATTATGTCAAAGTGGACTAATATATATCCATGACAAGCTTAAATTTTTTTGAACATGTAGTAACTTGTTCTTTTGTAATGCATAAATTTATTCCACCATTGGACTTATAGATTACTAGTGTATGCGTAAAAAAAGAAGAAAAAAAAACAAACAAACCAAAACTCAGCCATATAATTCAAATGAATTGTTAAGATTAAATCTAATAAAAACAATCTTAACCATTATGTAGGGTCATATGGCAAAGATTAACTTCCCTCACCTCTCACACTATACTAGATATGCTCATATATGTAATATATATATATAGAGGAGGGTTCAAACGACACCGGTGTAACTTTTATTAAGTGTTACACCGCTTAATAACTTTATATTAAATGTGAATTTTGAAAATCTAACCGTTAGATTGAAAGTTCATATCTCTTAGATCATATATGTCAAATTTTGTTAAATTTGAACAACAACTTGAAGGTAATCAAAGTGTTCATATTTTAGTATATTTTGAAATGTATATATTACGTCAATTTTGTTTTATGAGAATGAAGTATCAAATCATCTTAGATTAATATAAAATTTGATATATATGATCTAAGAGATATGAACTTTCAATCTAACGGTTAGATTTTCAAAATTCACATTTAATATAAAGTTATTAAGCGGTATAACACTTAGTAAGAGATACACTGTTGTCGTTTGAACCATCATATATATATATATATATAATCTAACCAACTAAAAGGGAACTTACTTTTACTTCTGCTTTCTTCATGGTCTTTATCATGTAACGATCATCATTGGTTAAATAGAAAAAGCTTCCACTTTTCCCAGGGGATGAGAGCTCCCTAAGGGCATCATTCCCACAAATTGATATCATGTAATCAGCAGGATCAACTTTGAACAATTTTCTGAGAGCCCTACAAATATAAATGTAATCAGTTCTAATACAATCCAAACTAGTATGTGATACAAGGTTATAAAACAAATGCAATAGTATTAGTAACCATGAGCATGGTATTTCCTAACCCCCACTATACTTCATAAAGAGACATCTAAAAGGTTTTCCTAATGCCACTTTCTAGATAAATAAAACCCTTCCTTAGAGCATGTCACCTACCTCTTTGTACCTCAAAAGGAAGGTTATAAATTTTCAAGAGCACTCTCAACAAGTTAGCACATAGCAGATTCTGTTACAAAACATGGTTCACCTAATCAAGACCAAAGTTTCTTGAAATGAAAAACAAGACTATTCAATCATGATGTCTACCTGAACACTACTGGACAGTAGTCTTTCCATCTAAATTCACAAGATGGGTGGGGTGGGGTGTGCTTGGATCCTTCTGGTGGAAATCTAGTCCATACTTTTTCTTTGGGATCAAATGCAGAATTCTTTAAATCAAGAGATGCACTTGGAGCAGGTCTTCCAACAGAATGTCTGTGCTATGGAACAAGAAGTTAATTAATAACGGTGTAGCAACAATTAAAAGGAAAATTTATTTGCTAGAATGTCATGTCCATCATTATAACAATACTACGGAAAACACCAATTTAGTTATATCTATATCCCTATTCTAGAAAATACATTCATCATTAAAATGAAGAGAAAAAAAAAATGAGCAAAATCTATATATTCTAAATGAGTAAACACCCAAATTGGTCCTTAAATTTAGAAAACGTTGTCATTTTTGTTTTCAAAATTAAGAAATTGCAAAATAGATCTATGAAAGTATAAATTCACAATCATCATATTAATTCTAAACTTAAAAATATATGATTAGAATAATAATATTGACATATATATTCATGAACTTAAATGACATTAAGTAATTAAATTAAAGGTCTTATTTCACATTTTAGGAACTTATTTGATATTTTAAAAACTTATTTAACAATTTTTAATTTCAGAAATCAATGACAATTATTTAAATTCATAGACTAAAATGAATGATTACTCATTATCATCAAATAGATGATGACAGAAGAAAAGATAGATAAAAAAAAAAAAAAAAACATAAAAAAAAACATAAAAATGAGACTAAATTAATTAAATCAAAACAACAAATATGATCAAGTACCTGATACCTAGCTGCAAATTCAACATAAGCTCATAATTCTTGTGGCCTTTAGATATGGTCTCTCCTTGTCTCTTGGGATTCTTTATTCTCAAACGTGATAAACTAGTATCCCGACCCTGATTTGAATGATCCACCGAGGCATCAAATCCAGATTTCCTAGCAACATCAAAAGCATAAGCCCCATCTTCACATTCAGAGTTGTAATTACTAATTCTTCCATCCTCTGACGTCCACCTTGGCCTCCCACTCCCATCAATTCTCTTCTTACTCACTAGCTTATTATCCTCCTCTCCACAACTCACACTCAATGTCTTCTGTGAAGGGTAAATTGAAACCTTCTCACAAGGACAAATCTGGCAATCAATCAACTCCACATTGAACACATCTTGAGGATCCCAATCTGCAGGCCTATCAGAAGCACCAGGGTAAAAAGTCCCACTCTGCTCCTTTGGATCTTGACTCCAAACCCCAACATAGAAACTACCATCACCCCACCTAAATGTACCATTTCCCTTAGGTAACCCTTCCTCCCAACACCCATCATACCTATTCCCATTGCTCCACATCATTGTCCCATTCCCACAAAACACCCCATTCTTCCATTGCCCAATGTATTGGTTCCCATTCTTCCATTGGTACCTTCCATGCCCATTGTGCAACCCCTTCTTCCATTCCCCATCATAGAAATCCCCATTGGGGTAGCTCTCAGTCCCTTGCCCATGTTTGAAGTTCATCATCCAAGACCCCTTGTAGGTGTCCCCAGAAGAACCAATGTAAGTGCCTTTCCCATCCATGTTACCACATTTGAATTCACCTTCATAGGTGGCACCACTAGGCCAACTAAATCTTCCCTTCCCTGTGGTGGTTCCTTTGCTCCATTCACCAACATACATGCACCCATCTGTCCACAGGTATTTCCCTTGGCCATGGGGGAACCTCTGAAGCCATTGGCCTGTGTAGAAGTCACCATTGGGGAGAATCTTCTCAACTTGGCACACCGCTGCTGACTCATCGTCATCAACGTGGGCCACAAACATCGGTGTGAAGATGCTGTTTGTCCTTTTCTTTGCACCACTTGATTTACGCACTGTTGTTTCCCAAGCCTTCACAATGCCATTGATTTCTTTGCTCATTCTCTTAAAGGTATCCACTTTGGTTAAACCTTCCCCCCACCCCACACCCCTATTCACCTTCATCCATCAATACCCCACAATGCCCACATCACAACAACAAAATCCTTAACGTATGCAATGTCGCAGTAAGCATATTTTTTTTTCACCGAAACCAGAACTGAAGAGCACCAAAAGACACACAATGGCCGAATCAATCAAATTGTGAAACTAAACCCGAGACAAGAAAAAGGGGAAAAAAAAAAATCTTTTTTGCTTTTGGTTTTCTGTTCTTTATGTGGTTGTGTAAAATGGGTTGTCTTCCGATTTTGAAAGAACTAACGTTGTTGTTGGATTGACGAGGAAAGCTAAATGTTGGATCCAAGGACTATCCTTTTTCTTTTTACTTGTTTTTGTGCAAGTTTTTCTTCTTGTTTCTTTTTTGTGTTTTTTTTTTGTTGATTTTTTTGTTTGTTTTTTTGTTTTCTTGAGTTGGAATTGGACCAAAGGGATTCAGCTCATGGTTCTGTGATTTCCGATTTAGTCTCCGAAAAGTAATAGGAAGCCAGACAATCGGAGGGTGGGGTTGATGAGGATGCCATTTTTAGTGTGGAAGATAGTTTGGTCCTAATTATAGTGATTTTGTTTTGATCACAATTTTATTTAACTGTTTTCCCTTAAGTCGTTAGTTAGATAGAGAATGCCACTAGGTTTTGGCAGTTCTTTCAAGGATCCTAAAGCCAATAACAACCTAGTCACTCGTACATGCGACTTATCATGCAGGAGTGAGAAAGTGTTATGACTATTATTATACAGGACAAATTAAAAGGGAATTTTTCATTAAAACTTACAATGAATTTATATTTTTATTAATTAACAAGAATTACAATGAAAATAAAGTTCAAACTTGACACCTTATACATACTATTCCAAGTTCTCTGCTAGACTGACCATGATGAGTCAATGAGTTTAATTTTAATATAACAGATTTTTACAAATGATAATAATAATTAGAAATTACATTAGATGTGAATTTTTTTTTAAAAAAATATTCCAAAAGTCAAAAATTTTAATATATATAATAATTTGTATTTAATTGATAATGATTTTTTTTCCTTTGCCTGTACATTCTTATTAATTGTATATAATATTTATATATATATATATATAAGAGAGGTTTATAATAATATCGGTGTAACTTTTACTAAGTATTGTACCGCTCAATAACTTTATATTAAATGTGAATTTTGTAAATTTAACTATTAGATTGAAAGTTTATATCACTTGATAAATGTATATCAAATTTTGTTAAAATTGAACAAGAACTTGAAGGTAATCAAAGTGTTCATATTTTAGTATATTTTGAAGTGTATATATTACGTCAATTTTGTTTTATAAAAATAAAGTGTCAAATCATCTTTGAATAATATAAAATTTCATATATATGATCTAAAAGTAAAGAACTTTCAATTTAACAATTGGATTTACAAAATTTACATTTAATATAAAGTTATTAAGCGGTGGAATACTTAGTAAAAGTTACACTAGTGTCGTTTGAACCCTCCTCATATATATATATATCATTTCATATGTTTATATTAAATTTCGTTAAAATTGAACATCAACATGAAAGTAATCAAAGTGTTCATATTTTATTATATTTTGAAATGTATATATTACGTCAATTTTTTTTTATAAGAATGAAGTATCAAATCATCTTGAATTAATATAAAATTTTATATATATGATCTAAGAGTAAAGAATTTTCAATCTAACAGTTGGATTTAAAAAATTCACATTTAATATAAGGTTATTGAGCGATGTAATTCTTAGTAAAAGTTACACCGGTGTCGTTGTAACTTTTACTAAATATTACACTGTTCAATAACCCTATATTAAATGTGAATTTTATAAATACAACTGTTACGTTGAAAGTTCATATCATTTTATATGTTTATCTTAAATTTTGTTAAAATTGAACAATAAGTTGAAGGTAATCAAAGTGTTCATATTTAAATATATTTTGAAATGTATATATTACGTCAATTTTGTTTTATAAGAATAAAGTATCAAATCATCTTGGATTAATATAAAATTTTGTATAGATGATCTAAGAGTAAAGAACTTCCGACTAATGGTTGAATTTACAAAATTGACATTTAATATAAAGTTATTGAGGGATGTAATACTTAGTAAAAATTACATCGATGTTATTATAACCCCCCTCATATATATATATATATATATATATATGTGTGTGTATAAAACATATATCATAATTAGTGTTTCATTTTAATTGTAAAAATATACATAACATATAAATAATCACAACATTTCATTATTTCTACACATTAACTATTTAACTATACATATAATATTTAACCAAATAATTCCTAAATAACTAAAAACTCACATACATATAATATTTATACAAAATAAATATTGTCACTAACCTTCAACCAACTTATGCAAAAAAAATTGTTCCAATGAAGAGGATAAGAACAATGAAACAATACCAACAATAATTTCTTTTGACACAATCAAGGGAAATACTGAACAATAAAACATGAAATATGAAAGATTTTTTTTAATAGAGAGAACCAGAGTATGAATGAGAGAATTTAGAATGAGATAAAATTGTGAGATGTAAAAAATGAGGGTGTAAATGATGTACTTATAGAAGGTAGAGGAGGTAAAGGACGGGTAGTTTGAAAATTAAAATTTTGAATTTTGGTTCGCCCAACCCTCCATCCTTTTCCTCGTTTTTCTCTCACACCTGTGCACCTGGGAGATATGCGCATAACTGAATGTGATCCCCTCCTATGCTTTCTTCATACTTGTACTGATACAAACTATTCATTTTAGTAAATAGTTTTTTAAATTATTTATTTTTTATATATTTTTTTTAATTTCGATTGAAAAGCCCATTTTAGTTCTTGTTCTTCTTTTTATTCAGGTTGTATTATTGTATAAATGTTATATTTTTATTTTACTGATAAAAATGTGTTGACACTTCATGCCATTAGATACTTTGAGAGAGAAAAAAATAAAAAGAAAAGAGAAAAAAAAGGATAAGAATTATAGATTATTTAATTTGATAAAAAAAAGGGGTAAAGGGAAAAAAATAATGTCACGTATGCACAAGTCCATTTATCATTATCGAATAAATACTTAGAGGGGTGTATTGGATTAAGATTTTAAAGGACTTTTTTAATTGAAAAAAATCTTGTGAATTTTAAAATACTTTGCAGGATTTTTATGACTTTTAAGATTTTGTAGGATTTAATAAGACTTTCAATCAAGATTTTAATGGATTCTACATGACTTTTAAGTTAGAATTTTAATGGATTCTGCGGGACTTTATGAATTTTGCAAAATTTCGTAAATTTTTTTACGTACGATAAGAGTTCAAGATTTTTTTTCATACATTCAAATTTAAAAAGAGTCAAAGACAAAAATAATAATATCTAGATAAATAATAGTAATAATAATAATTCTCCGTAATATCAGGTCATTCTAAATAACATTCACCCACATATTTATAGCGATACTAGTCCTCCAAGCATTATCATCTTTTCATTCTTTTTTATGGATTTTAATAATAAGCTCAAAATTATGATTTTTATTAACCGGTAATGTTGAAGATGAAGGTTCGTCCACCACTTTAATAGGAAATTCATCTAAATAACATTCTTTACGAAAAAAGTTATATAGTGCTGCACGTGCTAAAAATTATTCTAAACAACATTTTAAATATTTTATAATTTGTGATTTAAAATATTTTATTTATAAATTTATAAATGATTAAAAAAATAATGGCACAACTAACATACTCTCTTATAACTAAATATGTCCATTCATTTTATATTGGTATTGAAGTAGAAACTTACAAACATCAACTAGGAGAAAAAATATATATCTGAAATTTGTTACAGGTACAAATAAATTTTTTTAATATTTTAATTGCTTTCAATTTATTCACTCGTGAAGAAATATTTTTAGTATTAAATTATAAGATATTGCAATGTCTTATGTTAATTTCTTAAAATATAAAAAATCCTAATTTTATAATATAAAAATTAAAAAAAATAAAATAATTGTTGAGTCATAAAAGTAATAAATTCAAAAAAGGGTGAGAGATCGCAGTTTTTGTGCTGAGAGGGTTCTTTCTCCAACTAAGATTCATTCTTATCTCATTCTACATATAGAAACCCTAACTCAAATTCATCTTTGATATATATATATATATATATATATATATATATATATATATATATATATATATATGTTCTAATAAATCTAAATTGATCACAAGATCTTGAAGATCTACAGTTGATTATAGAGATCATGATATCAATTTTAGCTTTCACATTTCCCTTTTCTTGACACGTGTTATAAAAAAATACTAGAATTGAAATTTTAAACGTTTTCTATGTTATATAATTCAGAAACAATCTCAATTAAATAGAACAAGTCAATTAAAGAGAACGGAGAGAAAAATAGAGCAAGTCAATTATACTATCATTTACGTATAGAAGTTTTACCAAATAGAGGAATGGAATGGGAACAGTAGTACAATATTATATATGAACACTAGTGCAGTATTATTAACAAGAAAAAAAATGGAGAAGACATGAGCATAAAAAAATGAAAAAATCACTTGAAAATTCTTGAAGCACTTGAAAAGTCACTTTGAAAAACTCACTTGGGAATTCTTTAAGCACTTGAAAAGTCACTTCAAACAATCCTTCAAAATCTGATGGATTTGGATGTGATTGTTTTATGAATTTGATATTTATAGATACCACTAAAAAGTTCTTGAAAATCCCTCTAATACAACAATCCTTTAAAATCCCTATATTTTTTAATACTAATAGATTATTTTTAAGCTGTAAAAAGTCTCAAATCACTACAAGAAAAATGCTGATTTCTGACGGAAATTTCCGACTAAAACAGGTAAATTTCCGACGGATTTTTCTTTTTCCGACGGATTTCAATCCATCGGAAGAAGTGACATCGAAAAAAAAATTTGTCAGAAATAATTTTTCTGACAGAAATTTTCGACGGAAAATTTCGTCGAAAATTTCTGATAGAAAAATCCATCGAAAAAAATCCGTCAAAAATTTCTGACGAGATTTTCCGTCGGAAATTATAATTTTTTTTTAATTTTAATAAATTTATTAATGTAACAATCCTCATATTTGGCCTCTTAAGGGTTCTATTTCATGATATTTCACTGTTTAGCGTGTTTTATCCTTACTTGTGCAATTTCTGGGAAACTTCCCAAAAGGTCACCCATCCCTGTACTACTCCAAGTCAAGCACGCTTAATTGTGAAGTTCTGATGAGTAAGTTACCGAAATGTATATGTATGTTGTCAGTATAACTTGTACAAATTAATTCATTTAAGTCATCCTCAAATATACAATCTGATATTTGTACTATAATAATAATAATATATAAT